CATGCCTGGCTAATTTTTTCATATTTTTTGTAGATATGAAGTCTCGCTATATTGCCCAGACTGATCTTGAACTCCTGGACTCAAGCAGCCATCTCGCCTCAGCTGCCTTAAGTCCTAGGATTACAAACATGAGCCATCATTTATTACAAGAATGAATGCAAAATATTTTCAAACTAAAATAATAGCTAAGGGTGTAACTGTTCTCTGCTTTTTAATTTTGGAGCATGTGGAAGAGCAGAAGAACAAAGGAAGAAAGTGGTGGGGCAAGAGTAGAGGGATGATTAGTTGGGTTCTGTGCAATTGATTTAGATAGCATTTCATTGGTTCTACGTCTTCTATTTCTGACAATATGAAGCATTAGAAATGTCTACTGGTATAGTTCAAGCAAATATGCTGGGGTGGTACATTACACACATAAATTCTCATGTATTATATCTTAAATCATATATAAATTTTTATATAAAAGTACATACACATGTATTTAGTAAATAGTTTAGCTGGTGGGAGATAAAGGAATTTTTCTGAGGCCAGAGTCAGTTAGTGCTATAGATTCATGTGGTCTTTGAAAGTATCTGCTAGTTCTTGGTAGCTTACAGCCTGAATTTTGATGGGCAGTGAATATGGGGCACCGGAGATAAAGGCTGAGGCAAGAGGAGAGTAGGAAGATACATGAGAGACACATGGATAATGTGAGAATTCCCACAGGGCAGTATCCTCCCTGTGGGAGCTATGAAGTAGAATTTTTAAGCACAAGACCACAAATACACTGGTCTGGAGCTAGAATTCATACTATCTTTTTGGCTAAAAAAAAAAAAGAAAGAAAAAGGAAAGAAAGCCTGAAGTTTAGATTGGAAAAACTCTTCTTTAAACCAAGACCTCAAAGATTCCCCACAGAGTGCCAAGGACATGAGCTCACATTCTAAAATAAGGGTGAGAATTAGAAATACAAGTTGCATAAACTCTCAAAGACGATATATATTAGATCTACCAGGTATAGACTAAATAAAAAGAAATAGAGAAAATATGACATATGATGTGAGATTAAAAGAATCAAAATTGACCAGACAGGCTTGAAAAAGAGCCAAAGAGATCTGTAACTGATTGACTGGGCACATTAGATGTAGTAAAAAGAATGATGAAATGATAGACCTAAAGAAAAGAAAGAAAGATTAGAAATACAGAAGAAAGGTTAAGCAATATAGAGGGTACAATGAAAAAGTCTTACATGTTGAATCTGAATGTCACCAAAAGATACTAGGGTGGAGGATACCCAATATTCAGAGGTGTCATGGTTGAGAACTTTTCAAAATTGGTGAAGTATACAAATTCTTAGATGTGGGAAACCAGCTTATTAGATAAATAAAAAGAAATCCCTACTAGATTCTTGATAGTTAACTGTAGAATATTGATAGGGGGTGGGGAGGAAACAATGAAGAGGGAAAACATGTAACCCGGAAAGGAATGGCAGCCAAATGGCTTATATTTCAATAGCAAAAGTAGAAGCCAGAAGATATTGTAATGATAGCCTCAAAGCGATGAGAAAAAAATAATTGTCAGCCTAGAATTTTGTACTTAGGAAAATTATCACTCAAGAATGAATGCAAAATATTTTCTTTTCTTTTTTTTTTTTTTTGAGTCAGAGTCTCTGTCTCCCAGGTTGGAATGCGGTGGCATGCACACGGCCACTGCAGCCTCGACCTGCTGGGCTAAGGCTAAGGCAATCCTTCCACCTCAACCTTCCTAGTAGCTGGAACTACAGGTGCGCACCACCACGCCCAGCTAATTTTTTAATTTATTGTAGAGATGAGGTCTCACCAAGTTGCCCATGCTTGTCTTGAACCCTTGGACTCAGGCAATCCTCTTTGCCTTGGCCTCCCAAAGTGCTGGGATTATAGGCTTGAGCCACTGTGCCCGGGCTAAAATATTTGCAAACTAAAAGAATAGCTAAAGATGTAACTGTTCTGTGCTTTTTAATTTTGGAACGTGTGGAGGAGCAAAGGAAGAAAGTGGTTGGGCAAGAGCAGAGGGATGATTAGCTGGGTTCTTTGTATTTAACCTCCCCATGAATCTCAAAATACCAAATGAAGAAGTGCTTTATATGCACTGGTTGCTCTGGATGACTGCTAAAGGCTGGATTTGGCTGTCTTTGCCGTTTATAAGGCTGAACGTCGATGTGGGTATTGGAGTGGAGACTGGGAAGAATGCTCAGTCGAGGGAACTCAGACTGGGGTAGGGACTGGGGCTGGATGGCTTTGAATGCTATGGTGATGGGGTTCAGGCTGAGTTTTACCAGCTCTCCTAGGATAATGGAGTGCTCTGGGTGACAAGTGGAAGAAAAAAAATACATAATTTGCCATCTGAGATGGAATCCCACTCACAGTAAGTTACGCAGTCACAATCAGTCTACATGCTGATTGAAGCTTGCTTGTTGTCTAATAGAGCATCTCCCGGAGTTAGTGAAAACAGCAGCTTTTCAAAATATATTTTTATCTGTATACATTTTCTTCTTGAAAAGATTTTCCTAAGATATGATGGAAAGTTAGCTTACATTGTTACTGTACGATGTCTGCCATCATCAGAGAGGCTACAGTGAAGTCAGATGGTAGGTCTATGATGGGTTAAAATCTAAGATGTGTTAAAATCTAAGGGCAAGTTTCTCAGACCAGGGTCAAAATCTTTTCTTTTTTTTAGTCAGGGTCTCAGTCTGCTGCCCAGGCTGGAGTGCAGTGGCATAATCATGGCTCACTGCAGCCTCAGTCTCCTGGGCTCAGGTGATCCTCTCCAGAGTAGGCACTACACGCAGCACTGTGCCTGCCGCCGGGGCCAAAATATTAAACATTTCAGTTGAGGTCACATGATGAACACTGACCACATTTGGGCTGCTCCTTGGGTTTTATTAAACTCCCCATGCAAATATTTGTTTACGAATTCTGGATATAAGATACTTTAAAGAGGCATATCTTCCAGAGATTCCAATAAAGAATGAGATTTGTATGGAATATGAATAATCTCATATTTTTGTGTTTTATTCTGTTTTCTTTTTAATAGAAATGAAATTCCATACTGCCATACTTTTTTGATAATTACTATGGGCAAAGATTTAGAAACAAACTGGATAGAATTTTTCCTTTGTTTTAATCCCTGTCTGTTAAAGTCTAGCCAGATCAGTGATTTTATACTGCATAAAATAAATGTTTTTGTATTCAGAATAAAAAAACTGAAACTAACTAAAGACATTATCTGTGACTGATTCAGAGCTGTTTAACGTTATTGCATTAGTTTGCAATTTATGATTTATGCACAATGTACAGGATTTAGTGAAACTTAACTTGCTTGACTTTGAGATATTTCTGTGATTATGGTTATGTTGACTTGGTGGGCTTTGACAATCCTTGAAAATGGCTTTTATTAATTTATAGGCTCTTCAGTAAAACTTACTAAAACTGATTATAAAATGTACAGAGTTTGGCTCTAATTATCTGATTTAAAATAATGGTTTGAACTAATCCATTCTCTGTAGTCAAATAGTAAGGATAAAAAAGCTATTTTTCTTGCTTTACATAGATTAAACTCAGAATAATTATCAGGGATAATTACATAATTTCTGGTTGGCACAGGAATTTAGAATTGTCTTTTTTAGGAATATATCTGATTACAAAGAGGCAATCAAAATTCTTGTTGGAATCATCATCAGTATATACTTCAGCAATCCCTAGTTTGCCACCCACCAGTCATAAACATATGACTTTCTGGTGTGTGTTTTAGGAGTGTTTTCTCCTTTTCAAATCCAGGGAGCCAATATTTCCCTTAAATTCCTTTTGAACAAGGCAGGGTATAAAAGTAAAATACTTAAGAGCCTGTCCTCCTTTTCTTATTTTTATGAGGGGAAAGCAATCAGGAGATGTATTCTAGTTATTTGCATGAGCATCTTTTCATGGCATACTTTTATTAAACCCTGTGTGCTTGCATTTTCTGCATCAATGGCTACATAAACCAAACTTAGATCTTAAATGTTAGTGAGCTTTGTCATTTTCAAAAGTACTATAAAATTAAGTTTTGCAAGCATTCTGTCATTTTTAGGTGGGAAAATGATACTCATGTTCATAGACTATAATATTGAAAGAGATGATTCATCTAGTACAGGACTATCAGCGCACAATTTAAAAATAAATGTCAAACAGAAACACATAATCTGGTGATATATGTAAGGCAAGATGTGTGTCCAATTAAACACTAAAGTATGGCTGGGTTTGGTGGTTTACGTCTGTAATCCCAGCACTTTGGGAGTCCAAGGTGGGAAGGTCTCTTGAGCTCAGGAGTTTGAGACCAGCCTTAGCAACATAGTGAGACCTTGTCTCTACAAAAAAATACAAAAAAAATGTAGATAGGTGTGGTGGTGTGTGTCTGTAGTCCCAGTTACTTGGTAGACTGAGGCAGGAGGATGGCTTGAGCCCAGGTGGTCAAGGAAGTAGTGAGCTATGATGGTGCCATTTATACTCCAGCCTGGACTACATGTTGAGACCTGTCTTTACCAAAAAAACCAAAAACCCCACTAAAATATTAATATGGTTGGAAAAAAATTAGCTTCTGGGTGTTCCAAAGGAGGTGTTACATTATTCAGGAGCTAACTCTGCAAGTGGAAAATAAAACTTAAATCACATAAGTATATATGTAATAAAGTAAATGCCATTTGTGCCATTGATGGATTGTCGGGTATTCCTGTTCTCACATCTGTAGAACTGCTTGGCAAGTTTATTCTCATGATTCATTACACATCCTGAAAGTTTCAATGAAATGATTCTGTATAGGAATCTGATCTCAGATTCTGCTTGCACTCCTTAATGCTACTGTCCCAATTTCCCCTTACCCTCACCCTTCTAATTTCCAAATATGGAGGAGGGGGAGAGCTGTATACACTCTGAAACTGAAGAGGAGATTTATGAAATCAAGCATATTGGCCTCTAGGAGAGGAAATTAAAATTTTGTTTTTTTTCTTCTAGGTTGTCCTTCTACTCAGGCCACTCTTCATTCTCCATGTACTGCATGCTGTTTGTGGCAGTAAGTACTTTGTGTCTATCAATGGTTAGGTTATGTGCTACCTGCAATTAATGTGTTCAACATCAGTGTCCTCTCCTGTGCTAGTAAATTAGCAAGTGACAGAAGCCTTAACAGATAATCAGCAAGTCTGTAAGTCTTATGCTAAGAATTAGTTGATGTGTGCCCTTACTTTGGAAGTTTCATGAAGAGGTTTTCAGGAACACACAAGCAGCTTCTGTGTAATCGCAGCTGGTCACTGATGGGACAGCCAGGGCCAAGGTTGCTTACTAACCTCCTCCCCAACTGGGGCTGCCCTTCTCATCTGCTCAGTGTGGAACCCTGCTGTGCGGAGGAGTTGAGTTTCCATCATTGTAAGTGAAAGCAGCTTCCTGGCTCCTATTTGAACAGATTTTGTTTCCTTCCATTTTCTGAAACATTCCCCAGACTGCTTTACACTGAACCAGCAATGTTTCAACTTCAGTTGCTGCTTCTGGAACCTGTCACCTATATAACTTCTGGGTCCAATTCCAACACTAACCGTAGAGCGCATGGTGATTTGCATTTACATTATACAAAGTTGGCAGTGAGGAGTTACAAGATTTGCACCCACATTTTGCATATCAAACTAGAGATGAACATGCAGTTTTTTGAGAATAACTATTGGAGGACTAAACTTTAGGACACATTTAAGGGATCCTTAAAAGTCTATTTTAGTTCTTATTTTTTATAATGTGCTCTCTTTAAATATAAAACACTTTATAAAATACTATATATGTGTGTAAATATCGCATTATCGCCATTTTGAGAGAAAAGAGAGGAAGGGGGAGAAAATTTCTACCCTAAAAGATCAGCTATAATTTTTGTCTTTTCTTAATTTTTTTTTCTTTTTTTTTGAGTTGGAGTCTCACTCTGTCACCTAGCCTGGAGTGCAGTGGCACACTCACAGCCACTGCAGTCTCAACTTGCTGGGCTCAGAGGATCCTTCCGCCTCAGCCTTCCAAGGAGCTAGAACCACAGGCATGTGCCACAACGCCCAGCTAATTTTTGATTTATTATAGAGACAAGGTCTCATCATGTTGCTTAGGCAGGTCTTGGACCCATGGGCTCAGGCAGTCCTCTTACCTCCGCCTCCCAAAGTGCTGGGATTACAGGCATGAGCCACCACACCTGGCTCTAAGTGGATTTTTATATAGTTATGTTCTATGTAAATTAGCAGTTTTGTGTTTTTTTTTCTTTAATCACATTAAGTGCTGTGTGAGGATTTAATACTAGATTAAAACTCCATGATGCGTTTTATTAAGGGTAAACTAATGGGACTTAATTAGTCTCAGAGATTATTTATTTATTTATTTATTATTTTTATTTTTTGAGTCAGAGTCTTACTCTGGCACCCAGGCTGGAGTGCCGTGGCACGCTCACAGCTGCCGTAGCCTCGACCTGCTGGGCTCAGGTAATCCTTCCGCCTCAGCCTTCCAAGTAGCTGGAACTATGGGTATGCGCTGCCACGCCTGGCTAATTTTTTGATTTATTGTAGAAATGAGGTCTTGCCAAGTTGCCAGGCTGGTCTCGAATCCGTGGGCCCAGGCAGTTCTCTCACCTTGGCCTCCCAAAGTGCTAGAGTTATAGGTGCGAGCCACCGTGCCCAGCCAGTCTCAAGAGATAATTTTAAATCATTTTACTAGATTCTTGCCTTTATTTGAAAAACCAAATTCCAGAAGTTAAAAGAATGTAAAAATTACAGATGTGTTATTTAAAATTCAATTTGACAGAGGTAGGTAACACAGCAAGACCTTGTCTGTATGGAAAAAAAAAAATTAGCCAGGCATGGTAGCTGTAGTCCCAGCTACTGGGTAGGCCAAGGCAGAAAGATTGCCTGAGCCCAGGAAGTTGAGGCTGTGATGAGCCATGATCATACACTACTGCACTCCAGCCTGGGCAACAGAATAAGACCATGACTCAAAAAAAAAAAAATCCCAGCACTTTGGGGAGCGGAGGCAGGAGGATTGCCTGAGCCCAGGAGTTCAAGACCAACCTAGGTAACTTGGCAAGACCTTGTCTCTACAATAAATGAAAATATTAGCCAAGTGGAGTGGCAGGCGCCTGTAGTTCCAACTACTTGGAAGGCTGAGGTGGAAGGATCGCCTGAGCCCAGGAGGTGGAGGCTGCAGTGAGTCATGATCATCCCACTGCACTCCAGCTTGGGCAGCAGAGTGATACTCCAACTTCAAAACAAAACAAAGCAAAAAAACAAATCCACAACTTCAAACCGTTTCAACAGAGTTATTTTCAAGGTTTTTATCTTGCGTTAATTTAATTTTGTGAAGAAGCACTGGGTACTGATTCAGCAGAATTTAGGACTTCCTTTTTTAGATATACACTCATATGTTTCTGCAGATGTGCCATGGAGAATGTGACTTATTTAAGGCAGTTAGCAGGAAATACTATTCTTAACATTCTCTGTTCATTTATCTTATAAGAAAAAATTAGCATTCTTTCTACAGGGAGCCAACATATTTTTTTCTTTCTAAATAGGGCACACGACTGAGGGAGAGGGAAGGCCAGGCAATGGCTAGAGCTGTTAATATACCAGTAACTTTTCCCAAACATGAGCTTGTGACGACATTGAAGGGCTTTTGAGTGTGTGGACTTGTTTTGTGTGCCTGGAGCTAGAGCTCCCCAGGGCATTTTTGGTGACTTGTTATTCACGCCTCTGTGTGCATCAGTGTCTAAATCCCCTTTGATGACAGACCTAGGAATCTGAGTTTTGGTTGATGTTGAAGATGATTTGCATTTTGTGTTACTTTATGATGATTCCCATGAAGTAAGAGATGAGGAATGATGGCCACGTTTTACAGATGGGGGAATGGGCTTCTTGGGAGAGGGCTGCTGAGGTCTGAGAGCTCTCTTGATAATCAGGCTCCCTTGCTCTATTGGCTGCTTACCTGGTCTGAACCCTGGTCCATCCATTTTGAAGAAGATCAGATGATGCAGATCCCTGGACATAAAATGGAAATGATTGACACATAACTTTGACCCTCTGTTTTTAATTTTAAATAAAATTCTCAGACATATTTTCTGTTTTTCTTTTCCCTTCTCACAACATCTGCAACATCTGTAGATATGATCACATAGAAGCTTGTACTGAAGGTTCTTTTGTGAAATGTGAAATTAGTATGGGAGGATGAATTAATGTCTAGAGGTCTGCAGTGGCCGCTTGCTCTGTGGACATGCAGGGGCATGTGAGGAGGCAAATTAGGGATATAAACACAGGGAAAATTACCTCATCTCTGATTTGGTACTTGGGTCAGTGTGAGGCATTTAAATGTGTTAAAAACTAAACAAATTAAATTTAACAGTTTAATTGAGCAAGGAAAAAACTATTCTCAAATTGGGCAACCCTCAGAATCACAGCAGATTTACAGATACTCCAGCGCTGCCAGGTAGTCAGAGAATTTGTGGACAGAAAAGGGAAAGTACGGAGAACAGAAGTGAGAACAGAAGTGAGGCATGGAAACAGCCCGATTGGTTACAGCTCTTGCCTTATTTGAGTGAGGTTCGAAGGTTGGCTGCCTGTGAGTGGGTGACGTCAGGCTGCTGGGATTGGCTCAGAGACTCGGCTCTTGTGACAGAAGCACACTTCTAGTTAGGTTTTCAGTTTGCTTACCACCTTCCAAGTTTGGTTGCGCTTCCTAGCAAGAATTCAAGTATGTCACTATGGAAACTTTTTGAGGCCAGATTTTAGTTTACTTTTTAGATGTAAAATTATAATGGAAAAAAAAAAAACCCAGATAAGGTTTGTTATAGACCAGAACCTTTCTGGAGAGGAAAGCACATCAGAGCAGCCATGCACTGCATTTCACTGGCTCTAGGCAGTGGAAATATTTCCTTGGTGTGGATGGAGAGCCCAGTTTGATTTCGGCCCTAAATATAGATGTCGCCTTGCTTTCCAGATTTCACATGTATAACATCTAACTTCTCCACCCCCCCCCGCAGATTCCTTAGGCATTGACTCATCTGTTTCCCTGGGCAGCTTGGCATTCTGGGTCAGTCCCAGATTTGGGTGGAAATGTAGTCATTCAAATCCTGAGGATATTCTTTGATAGCTAAAACTTCCCTGTCAATTCCTGACACTAGAATTAACTTCTAGTTAAAAACGTCTCTTAAAGAAAATACCATACGTACTGTCCTTTTCTGACAGGCAGCCCAGCCCTGTACACCTCACCGTACCCAGAGAGTTAGCATCAGTGAAAACCTCCTAGGCTGTCAGGAGCTCAGGGCGGGACTGCTTTGCATATAACCAGTTTCTGTGCTTAGTGACTCCCTGGAACTTGGCTGAATGCCAGAGATTCCAAATTTCTTTAGATTATCAGGAGAACAGCCATGGTATGAAGCTGTCCTTTTTTTTCTGTACAGTGACGAATGTACTAAAACACTTTTCCTGCAACCATTCTATTGAGGCTGAAACCCCCGATTGCTTATATCACTGCCTGTTATGAGATTCCTCTCACTACCTGTGCTCCAGCTGGTCTCTGCTCCTTGCTACAAAATGTGTCTTAGCCAGGCCTTTCCCCCACCCTGGTGTTTAGACAGTGCTACCCTCCTGTCTGAATCTTACTCTTTCACACTGTCTTTTTCCCTCAAGATTTGTATCATCTCTTGTTTAGCATTGACCATATGCTGCCTAGCATTGTTGATATTTCATGAGGATGTTTGCTGCTGTGGATTCATGATGAGTGACTCTTGGCCCGTGTACTACATGAATCCCATCCAATTTTAGAAACTCAGTGAATCCTAAAATTGGTGAAATTGAGGTCTAGAGAACACTAAACAGAGGCCTGCCTGACAGTGTTCTTCTAGCCAGATCTGTCATCAGATGTAGGTGGAACAATCAATTTGGTTTCCTTGCTTGGTCATAGATGCAGTATTTCAAAATAAGTAGACCAAAATTATTTATTTGTGTTGAGCATGCTGTTGTTAGTCTAGTTTGGGGTCAGCAAGTTTTTTCAGTTAAAAGCAATTCA